TCTGCCAACTGTCAATCAAGCCAGCCACGCCCCTTGCCCCGCAAAATGTGGACGATGCTTTAAAAATTCAGTATTGATTTATTTTCAGATTGGCCACCTGATCTCTGGATTTGACCATGAAAACTAGTTTAAAAAAAAATCCTGAGCTGTAGGAATGCGGTATTTGGTGATCTGTGATCACTTCTTTTCCAATTCCACTCTATGGGAGCCAGGGTTTTTTGGAGCCAGCAGCTAGCGGACGTAGTGATATTGCAGGTTTTTGACACTTTGGGGTTGACTTCATTTTTCAGGGCCGGTTGCTACGTCCATCTTTCATACAGTCTATGCATAACACTGCATGGCCACTAAAGGGTTAATTCCCTGCCGTCGGATTCTTTGATCTTCTGCGCAGCTTTCCTGAGCAGACGGTGCAGCGACGCAGACCGCGCACAGAGGGACGAGAGCAGAAGTTAAGCCGCAGAGAACAGAATGATAGAAAAGGAGAGATAAACTTGATCAATCAGCTGAATAACTGAGAGAGAGAGACAAGAATCTGCCGATTGTGTTTCCATTCTGACGGTGCGTTGCTCCGGTGCACAACTCTGTTCCACGTGGATCAGACCATCTACCAATATTTTTGTCATACTTGCTCAATCTGTTATCAAAGTTCAACAAAAATAACTTTTGTTGTCATGCTTGTGACCAGGTATTTTATATTAAATGGTGTTCTCTATGTTTTATTTAGTATTACAGGGTTCCTACATATTTGAAATTTCAAAATTCCATACTTTTTCCAGACCCTAATTTCCAGACTTCTCGGTAAAAAAATAATTCAAAAAGTAAACTTAGTTCACTTGATGTTGTCGGACTTGGTCTCATGCTGGCTTCAGCCAAAAACGCTGTGACTCTCAGTGCAGAAGATGTGGTGACAAGACTAAAGTGTTTTTTCCCCTGCATATGACTCGATTTCACACAAAGTCTGCATTTAGCTTTCTTTATCCATTCGGGATCCTTATTCAACCAGTCTTTATATTTGGGATTTATGAGCCAGTCGTCAGAGAATTTACATTTATCCATTATGAGTTCCGTCAACGACCATACAAGAAATTTTGAAGAGCTCACTCAAAAACTTTGTGGACATCACCTGTCTGTCGAAGCAGCAGTGAAACTTGACGACACCTGGGCGGGCCAATGGGTTGGAAGAGGATGAGAGCAGAGGGTGGACATTCAACTTGTCAATCTGCCCAAATGCTTTCTGGGACGTGTAGCCATGGATTTATTATATGAACGGGTAGCCTACTGTGTGCTCTCACACAAACATTTTAGCTGCACTGCTAAGGGCCTTAAAAACAGATCCATCCATTTCGCTTTTTACATATTCATAATTTTATGTTGTAGAAAATAGAACAGTGGTTAAAGGCTTAAAGTGAAAAATAATCCTGAGCCTGAACTTTTTTGCTTTTGGGTGGGGGTACAATCTCACTAATTAGTAAGATATGAAGATATCTGCCTTCCCAAACTCAGACTACAGATTATAGTAAAACCAAAAAAGGTCAATCAGCTGCGGTAGGTACTCCATCTGACTACAACATGGTGCAAATATATTGTTTAGCAACCAATCAGTAAAAGACATGGAAAGAGGACACTGATTTACCTTTTAACAATATGTGCACCATTTGCACTATTTATTACCTCCATCAAGGAGGTTACACTGCTCTGTCAGCTTGTTGTTAATAATATCAATGTTAATTCAATGCTAAAGATATATTTTGATTCTCCATGAATCTAATAGTATAGATAAACTGAATGCAGGACTTTAACATTGGCTGGAAATCACAATATGGTGGAAATGAGCTGCTTGGCAGAGGTCTGAGCTCTCAGAGGGCTTTTCCAGTTTTGAAATGCAATACTTTGTCAATATTCAATGAAAACACAAATCTTTTGAGCTTTTCAGAAAGACTTATCTGAAACACTGGTGCTATATCATGTGTATTTATGTAACCAGCTGGTTTGACACAAACAGTTTTGACAAAGCATTTTTACCTTCAGCCAACTTTTTGCACAGAATAACGAATGGCTGATAGATGGTGAACGATAAGTCATGCGCACGCGTATTTTTAAATCACAAACCCGATCAGTCATTGATGCCGGTACCTCAGCGGTGGCTGCTGCTCCCGGCAAACGAGGTGAGTTTCAGAGCAGACAGCAGCTCTGTGGCTGGGGTCTGAGTCGTGACCTGACAGCACTTTTTTTTGCCGCTAGTTGCGTACAGAAGGCGACAACGGGAAAATATTTAACAACAAGCGGCGACAGAGTTTCAGTACCGTTGTCTTTGTTGCTAACGCTGCTATTCGCTAGCGTCTTCGCTGCTACCCCTTAGCAGCATTCGCTGCTAGCATTCCCGGGTCGATGATGACAACACCCCCGGCGACGGCCGGCGACTTCACGAACTCAGTGTTTTTTTCAGAGCCAAGCACTGCACGCCGGAATACTTTAATCCATGTAATAGTCTTGGAAACATGAATATTTTTCCATACAATAGTTTCCATTTTCCATACTTTTCCAGACCTGGAAATTTATAAAATCAAATTCCATACTTTTCGATACTTTCCATACTTGCGTAGGAACCCTGGTATTACTGTGACATGCAGCTACATGTGGTTCAGCAAATATCACTGGTCGACTTCTGCCTCATCAGTGTTTTTGTTAATATGAGCTTAAAGATGAGACTTTTCATGGCGGCTTCAGTTCGTACTTTTCCAGAATCCACTCGCCCATTGGAAGTCTGACCAGTCAAAAAACAACCGTTAACATCCACAACTGCTATTACTGCTGCTGATTATATGTTTGAAGGGCTCCCAGATGTGACCAACCGTTCACAAGAATCAAACCTGTCAACAAGTAACTCACCAACAAGAAGCTCAATGTGGAATCGTTTTTGTTGAATATGCGGGAAATCACAGGTGTAGCTTCCACTGTCAGACAGTCGTGTGTTTCTGATGATGATGGAGGCGTTGCCGTGAAGTAGTTCATCTGGAAAATGAGACACTCGTCCTTTGAACTGCTCGTCTTCACCTGGACATGAGTTATTGTCATGAGTGCCGTCGTCATACAGAAACACGTCCTGTCGACCATCTTTCATCCAGTCAAACAGAGCCAGTTCGATGTTCTTATTGTCAAGGGAACACGGTAAAACGACGTCACTGCCGGCCATCACCATCCGTTTGACGCCACCTTTTGAAAGATAAAAGCACGTTTAAATTTCCACATGTACATGAACAGTCATCGGGTTAAAGCAGGAAAAACACAACTGTAACACCTGCCACCGGCATTAAGGTGATAAAGACCTTCATTCATCGTGAAGGAAATTCTTGTGCCAGATAGAAAAGCCATCAGACATAAGTAGGGTACAGTGGTAAAATAAAAATAACCACGTTAAAATAAGACTGGAACAGAAAAGCAGGAAGTAATTCTGGCAATGATAACGTTGCACATAATAATGAAATTATTCCAGAACACCAGTTCATTGGTGCAGTTTCTCCTTTTTAGTCACATTTATTTCTACATATTCATAAATAAATCAGATTATTTTATTAGAAACATGATTCAACATGATTATGGGTCTGATTTTGAAGGTTTATTATTATTATTGTGTTTGATGTTTATCAGTCAGAGAGGCTGAATATGTTCACATGGTTTTAATGATACAACGGTTTAGTGGCTCTTAATTTTTAGTGTTTTATATTTTATATCCATTTGATCCTAAACATTCATCTTACAACTTCTTCTCCGGTTTCTATGTTGTTCTCTTTTACAAATTCATTGCTGTTTTTGCACTCATGTTTGTTTCTGACTGACCTGCTTTGGTCAACTGAGCTGGGATACGTAAAAAAAACAAACAAAACATTTCCTCTTGCAAATTAATCATATATATAGTGATGGAAAAAACGGTTAGACCACTCTTGTTTTCTTCAATTTCTTGTTCATTTTAATGCCTGGTACCACTAAAGGTATATTACCTGAAAAATATAATGAATACAGCAAAAAATGCAGCTGATTCCATCATGCTTCGTGTCCTATTTGACATACTTAATCTTAATTGTATTCCAGGGTATATAACAGGTCATTTCATGTCATAAGCAGCACTGCACATGCAAAGGCCTGGAGTGGTTTCCTGCTTACATTCAAGCTGTAGCACAACTCAGAAGCTGTCAGCTCTCACATAATGCCTCAAACAAAAGAGTTATGTGAAGTGGCCTTAAGCCTGTCTGCTCCAGAGGGCTGTATTACGAAGCGAGATCAGTGGGTTCGCGAGGTATGTTGAGCTTAAAGCCAGAGTTTTCAG